TGGTCGTTCTGTCTTTCAGGGAGCCTCTGGCGAAGCATTTGAAGTTTTTAATCTGCCGCTCCAGAGACTAAGGTCACCTTTCACAATCCCCTCACTCGGTCTTTTATTTGTTCTTGCTAAGTTCTGGTAAGCCTGCTATTTCACACACTATTAAAAGAAATCTACTAATACAAGAGCGAGGTCCTTGGCTGCCGTTATTCAGACAGGTTTTTTTTTCTCTCTCTTTAAAAAGACCCGAGGCGTCCTGTTCAGGGTTTATGACCCTAAGATTAGTCACTTTTTGAGGCTGGATGTAGCGCCCGGGGCTATTTCCGCCAGAAACTGATTTTCATATTGATGTGCAACGTGGCGCCCTCTCCAGTCCACATATTGACTCATGCATCACCTGGACTCTGCAGCTGTCAGGCCTCAGTGATAGCAAGTGGAGCAGACAACCCCCTCTGTTAATAAATAAGCAGGTGAGCCGCTGCTAGAACACGTTACAAAGCCGAGGCCCGGGGCTCCCGGCTCTGCACCGCTCCACCGTCTTATTACCATTAACGCTCCTCCAGGATCTTCAGCCAAAGTGTGACAATGATGTTTGATGAAGGATATTCACCAATCAGAAAATTCAAATGAGGACTGGGGCTGATTAATTCACTGCTGACAACAATTAATGCATTCGTGCACAGAGTCACTGACGAGCTCCACACACTGAGACGCAGACGCAGTGTGGACCACTAGAGGGAGTGTAACGTACAACCCGGGTACACGTGCCACAGTTTTGGAACCACTAAAATTTGATTGAACTGAAATTCAAAACAGATGAAATGGATTAAGGTTAAAATAGTCATTTTAAATAAACTTCTGTCCAACCATTAAAAAACACTTTAGTTCCTGGTCATAGATTTATTTTAGTTTTTCCCATTCGAGGTCAAACGTGGTTGCTGGTTTAAAACTCAGAGAACAGACTTCATCCTCCAGGTCTTTATTTTTATGGTGGTGAAGTGAAAAGGAAATGATGGAGAATTATTTGGAGCCTAGCTTTGCATGTATTACACAGCAGAAGACTAAAGAGATTATCCAGGGCCAGATGTGTCTCGGTCCGCTCAGAACACGTCAGATCCCGCTGTCTGTGACTGTCTGTGTCTGTCTGTGACTGTCACACCTGTCTCTAAACACGTCAGATTTATTCAGTTCTAAGAAGCGCTGGCCTTTGAATGTTTCCTAGACTTTATCCTTAAAAAAAAAAGCTTAAAGTTGACTGAGTGACAGTAATGCAGCATTAGCCCCGGACACACGTCACGGCGGTTTCCTTCCTCCTGAGAGGCTCACACCGTGGACGACAACATGGAGCAGAATAGTGTGACAAAACCCCCAAACTGACACAGCCCTCTCTGTTCCCCACGTCAACACGGCCGCACTTCTCTCTCTTTGGCCTAATTGTCAGGAGGATCGCGAGGCTCGACACCTTATAGAGCGTGAGCTACGGCTCCTGAGCCCAGGAACCTGCGGTTCTGCTGCTGCAGATTGCGTTTTATTGAACCGGGGCTTGTCAGCATTTTTTGGAGAGCTGGTAAAATATAATTGTGTCATCCTTTATAAAGCAGTGTTGAAATGACAGCACCCACAGAAGCTTCATTACTCTGCGTTTTATTGGGGTGTGAAGCCGGGACAGACTCCTGCCGATGAATAATGTCTCTCTCGTGCGGAGTCAAGGTAAAACACACCCGCGGTGGCGGCGCGCTCCACTGGACGAACATGGATCATTTAAAATGGAATCAATTCAGCTGAAAAATTACAGCTGGTTGCCATAATGGTTTTATCTGACGCCCATCAATACCTGCATCGATTTTCTGGTAGAATCGAAAGCCGGTGAGAACAGAGGGGGAAATAAACGGCTGCACACACGAGTATGTGAGCAGAGCTGAGACAAATGTAACGAGACGTGGAGCGACGTCCGTTCATCCATCAGGACGATCCTGTGACCGGCTTCAGATGCATCAGAACCTGACGTAATCTCACCCTGAACACGACCAGCACCAGGTTCATGGACACGAGGCATATCTTTATATATTTGATATATTATTATAAACTCAAACTGTTCCAGTTGACAAAAACAAATCCCTGAACAGCAGAGCTTTAACCTGACCAAACAACTGAACATGTTCAGATCAGTATCACGTGACGTATATTTATCTTATTATATAATTTGACAAACTCTCATCTTTAATATTAAAACGTATTGTTGCTGCACATGTTCTTGTCCACGGTGATATCCTAATTTTGTCATTTTTCAATATTTTCTGTGCAATATTTACATTTTCATATATGAAATATTTCTATAAACCAATACGCTGATTTACTATTTCTAATCTTTCTTATTTATAGGGTTACTTTATGTATTCAATTTGAATAAAATTAACATGTATCTTATTATCTACATCCTACATGACTTTGTTATTGTATTTTTAAAAAACCCACAAAAACATGATTTTTTTCCCACCGACTCTGTGATTTACCACCGTTTGTCTTTAGTCTGTCTTAAAAAGACACTGCTGCACAGTGCTGTCATAATAAAACAATAATAAAATGTAAGGATCAGGGTCAGGGATTATTAGGACAGAAGGGGAACGCCAGGATCCCAGAATTCCAAAGCTCATTTCCTCTGTCCAATCAGACTCACAGCCCAGGGACGAAAAAAAAAATCATTTACAGTAAAATCACGTAAGTATTAGGAGATTTAAGGTGATCAACGTGTCAACTGGGAACTGAAGTCTGTGGTCACATGACACGGATTAACTTTTCCTGCTCACTGTCCCGGAGCAACAGTCGGTCCATGAACGCATCGTCCTCCTCACGATCACATGGTTCAATGTCCTCAGTGTCGTCCACTGACAGTCAAAGGTCACAGTGTCGTCCACTGACAGTCAAAGGTCAAACACCAAAGTCACAGACAGAGGTCGCTGTTATCACTTCAGAGTGAGCTGGCTTTAAAGTCAGGCTCACTTTATCAGAACGAGTCAAGTCTGAATCCATGTGATTCAAGAACTGCTGTTTCACTCGTTTGTCTTCATTAATTCTGACTTAAAAGACCTGAGACAGAAATAATAGTTGGAAATTAAATCCTCCATCATTAATCAAGAGGTAATACCGCGCTGAACCACAGAGGGCAACTGTGAGATAACACTTATGGCTCAACGGGGCTAATTCTCCAGAATGAAATATGCTGCTGAGGCCAAGCATTTACAGCAGCAGTTTCACAGCCATATTTCAGGGGGGGGTGGTCACAGCCTCTGGCCATTAAGGAACGTGTGTAATATTTTAGGGCTTGTTTATGTTCTCATCTCCAACAGGTTTAAACACTAAAATGAAGGGAGGAAGACGAAGAGGAAGACGAAGAGGAAGAAGAGGAGGGAGAAGAAGAGGAGGAAGGATATTCATATATCTGGATTTATATATGTAAATATCCACATATATTTACATATATGTACGTGTACATATTTAAACACTGAAATGAAGGGAGGAAGAAGAAGAGGAACTGGACCACACACACTGACCCTGTGACCCAGGACTTCAACCTTCAACCACAGTTAGATGAAGGAAACATTTAACCTTTTACTAAACTTTTCTGTGTCTCATTATACTGACACCACTTCTGTGATTGACATGTCACCAAGCAGAGCCTGTGGAGCGATGTCTACAAATACACCAATATTAACCTGGCTTTTGGGAGCAGCGCAGCTTCTGATTGGCTGATAAAAAAATATCAGAAGTGGTTAAAGAAAGACAAATCCTCCAGATGAAAGTGCAGCGGCGGTCTCCGACCGAGGGCCTCTGGACGTGGACTCATTCATCTTGTGGACAACAGGGCGATCACATTCATCAAGGAGCAGATCTGCTCTCTGATTGGCCACAGACTGGCAGCTGATGTAAACAGTTCTTGATGAACATTAGCTACAAACTTGATTATCTCACTGACTAATGCTCTGTCACTCCGCTCTGTGAGAGGGGCCCAGCAAGGACCCCTGGTAATGAAGCCTGAGCAGGTGCAGAAAGCCCACTGACATCGGGGGGGGGGGGGGGGGACTGACAAGAATGTCTGATGAATTTCAATTACTGACCTATTAAAGCTAATGAGCTAAATGAGCAGCCAGAATCCATTTGCTGGAAAGGCAGGAGACAACAGCCCGACTGGGTTGTGTGTAACTCCCAGCAGGTAACGCTGTGATGGTGCAACTGTTACCGTGACGGTGTGTCTGCTGCCCGCTGTGAGGGAACCTGAGCTACAGCTGGTCAATGAAAACCATGGAGACTTAGTTTTCCTCCACACTTCAGCCCCGCTGCGTTTATATGACTGTAGGCCTAACGTCGAGTTACAAGTCAAGTCTGCCATCTGCTGGACAAACTGCCACAGAGCACACAGGCGGATCACGGTTAATACACGACACCATAGCGCCCTCTGCTGGATCAAAGGCAGAAACAAACGTTCAAAATCAAACAAAACAACAATGCAGCCCTGATCAACAAGAGTTAAACTAAATGTATGTTAATAAATACACCCAACATTCATCAGTATAAACTCTAACAGCTCTGACACTGGTCCAAATGACCCAGTCATCAGGGTAATTCATCTGTGAAGACAGTATGTGCTATAATCCCACCATTCATTATTGTCATCAGGGTAATTAATCTGTGAAGACAGTATGTGCTATAATTCATTATTATTATTATGACTCTATTTGACAAACCTGGTCATTTTTACATGTTGTACTGTGTTTGTAAAAGAATACTGACTGTTTATATGTGGTTCTAACCCAAAAACAAACATCAAGTACAATCACGTATCCAATGGTAACAGCACCTGAGAGCCAGGGAGTTTCTCAGGAACCTCAGGTTGTACACCTCATGTTATAATCAGTATTAAATACACAAAGCTTTTCTACCACAGCTACACGTATTCTCTGTGCTCGACGTAAACATCCGTGACCTCTGCAACAACAAAGTATGAGCAGAACGAGAACCAGAAACCGTTTATTTTCCCCAGCAGCTTTTTTTTTTAATCAAACTGGAGTCGCGGCAACGAAAAAGGAAAATAGTTGATTAGATGATTATCTTGTATAGACATGTATCAAAGGTTCCAAAATGGTGGTAAATTTATTTCATCAATATGTTTTTGTAGAAATATCGTACAAAAAAACCCGCAGGTATGCAAGATTAAAGTTTAAATTCGTTAAGCTACATACGTTAGCCGTTAGCAGGTGAGGAGATGATGATCAAGAACGGACGAAGATGCAGCTCAAACAGCTGTTGAAGAGAACTCTGCCGTCTTCCTCGGTGCTGCACTGGTTTCTCAGGAGCTCCAACATGGCAGCTCTGACGTCTGGGGTGAAGGACTGGTGGAAGTGATGGCTGATGGTCATGAAATCCAGCAGACGTTCTCCTTTAGCGCTGCTGGGATCGAAGCACTCGGTGATGTCGAAGGTGTTGTGGATCAGGTGCTCCTCATATTTCAGGCCTTGGTTCTTCAGAAATGCAATCACAGTTTTGGAGGAGCAGTACTCTTTGATGGAGTCACCACAGAGCTCCTTGTGGAAAGTGCTCCACAAAGTGTCCCAGCCTCCGTTAGCTACACCGTGTTAATTAAAAAAACAACAAAAAAAAAACAAATCAAATAAAAACACAACGGTACGAGACGTTAGAACTGAGAGGGTTTCATGAAAACAACCTCCTGATGGAATATATTCTCCTCTCTGATCTTAAAAACATTTGACCATAATGAACATATTTAAATCTCTTCACCTGTTTCAATGATGATCATCAATCTGCCGTTTTTCTTCAGCAGACTGTGGTAGAATTTCACAGTTTCCTCAAGATTATCGACATAGTACATCATCTGGAAAACAGAGTAGAAGGACTTGGAAATTGAGACATTTTAAAATAGAGTAAAAGATCAGGGTAATGTTTTCATCAGGTCCAGGAACAGGAAGTGACTGTAAAATCCTCCAGATGTTCTACATCATGTATTAAATAAATACCAAACACCTGAATCATGTGAATGAAGTCAAATCTCTTTGCTTCTCCTTTTTCCTTCACTTGTTTCTCGTAGTTCTCACTGGTGGTGTTGTACCAAGTGAAGTTGATCTTCTCAAGGCTGGAGGTTTTAGCCAACAGCGCTTTAAGACAGAAATAAGAAACGTATTGGTCACATACTTTCAATGGAACACAGATTAATCACAGGATGAATTAATAACAATGAATCATTATTATTCATAATTAATCACTATGACTGATCAAGATAAATTAACATTTCAAGTATAAAAAGAAAATATAAATTGGTGACAAATGCAAACAATGGAATTATTATTTTGGAAAAATGTCAAGACAAATATGCAAAAGTAGTAGGTGAATATTAGTCATTACTGTTCATCTCAACGCGCCAACATTTTCATTCAAAGCGTCCGTGAATCTCATCTTAGTAATAACCGCTCTACAGTCCTTTGTCATTCAGCTCGACACAGCTCAGTTTGGTGAACAAGGTTTGAGCTTCTGGGGCGACTGAGGGGCCGTCAAGCACTTCTCCATAAGACACTCATTTAAGTCTCAAGTCCTTTCCAGAACACAGTAGGATTCTTCAGATTTCTCTGTAATCAGCTGAATTATTATGGTGTCCCTTCTGTCTCCACGTCCTTGGCAGCTGAGAAGCAGCCCAGTGGTTGGCCGTGTATTCATCCTCTAAAGACGACGTCACTATAAGTCCCTGAAATCTCCTTTGCCACACTCCAAACGTGTCGGCCAAGGAGATTTCCCCCGACTATTGTCGTCACAAAAGGCCGAGCGTTGGAGCCATTTCTACAGATCGTGTTGAAACATTGATACCTTTGAAATTCTGAGTCAGTTCATCACTGCCTTCCACAACATCAGCCGTCACTGGTACATCAGGGAACATGGACCGCAGCAGTGACAGCATCTGGACGTCAATCTGACCTGGAATGATTTCACTGATTGATCAAATCCCTCCTCCACTCTGATAATCATTTACATCCAAACTGTGTATTTCCACATACCTCCACCGCTGCCAACTCCAAGAACATCCAGGCCAGTGGAACCTGTTCCAATTCTACATGGAACAAAAACATACATTTATAAAAACAACAACCAGAAAAGGTATTAAAAATATCTATTTATTCATAAACCTGACCAACTAGGAGGTTTTTGTTTTTTCATTTGAGTTTCTCAATGGTGTCAAAAACTTGTGATCTTTATTTTATATTTTAACAAACCTTTGGACCTCACAACCTCATAACATTACGACATTCTTAATCGTAATGTCACAACTTTACGATATAAAACATCATTCATAAATTTACGACCTTTAATACAAACGTACGACTTTACTCTCATCACCTCAGGTCTTTTCACTCCCTTAAACTTCAAACTTTATTCTTGTATTTAATATATGGTTCTACTGCTCACACAAAACTGAGTTCTTTATGTAAAAAACCCCTAAACTTTACTTGCAGATTGCAGTAACTTAGTGTCAGTCTAAAACTACTAGAACTTCCTGTTAAGTTTAGCCAGGAGCTCAGACAAAAGGCTGTGGAAAAGGACAGAATCGACAAAATCACGGTGTATCAGTGAAGTACTTCGTAGTACACGTACTGTTTAAATTCCCCCGGCAGGAGGCTGTTAAGACTCTGGACAATGGCCTCGTGTTCTCCTGAATGTTCTAGGTAGAACTGAAAATTCTGGACACATTTGCCGTCGTAGCAAGTCCACTTTTTTTCTGCAGCCATGGCTCAAATCTGCAAGAGAAAAAAAAAATCAGGGTCCAAACGAAGATAAAGCTGTTTGTAAAAGAAAGGCTGAAATCAATGAGATAACAGACCAACCTGGAGAACGTGGAGGTCAAGGCTGCAGTCAGGAGCTCTTCCTCTGCTCACTCTTCTATGGCGACAGTTAATGTTTGTGTTGCAGTGTTGCGTAACTCTAACGTTGGCCTATCCCCGAGGCAGCAGCAGCCGTCGCATTCAGATCAGAATGAAAAAAAAAGAAAAAAAAAAAAAAAGAAAAGATTGATTCAAGATTGCCCATTCCCCAGAAAAGATTGATTCAAGATTGCCCATTTTCAAAACGACTTGAATGTTTTACACTTAAACCTTGGTGAGCAAAGACATAAAAGTCAGTTGCAGTTTGTAACTTCATTGTTACCTGCGTTATTTTACTGCAGATTAGTTTTTCTGACAACTTTTTTTTTTTTAAAGAAAAGATATGTTCAACAGCAACAATGTCAAGAGTCAGTGCCAGGTGACACTTGACCTTAAGGAAGAGGAAAAAAAAACAAAAGTTCTTCTTCATGTTGGCCACTAGTGGCAGCAGCGAGTTGACCTATAGCATGGGTCAGTGACCTTTCTGAAACAGAGCCCTGAGAGAGGGCAGTCAGTAACACAAGAAGCTACTTGTTTGAAACAGACTCCCTGAACAACAACAACATAATAAAAAGTTCTTTTTACCATCGTCTTTGAACCATTTGAATATCGTTCAAGTGACTCTGATTTAAAGGCACAGTAACAGTAGATTTTTTTTCATCTCTAGACATTTAAAAAACAACAAAGAGAAAGACCATGTTTAGGTTCTGTTCAAATGGTTGTTTTGTTTTAATTTGTGGTCTCCTTTATGAAACTGCTACAGTATCAGAATAAACAGTTCTGAAAATTAACTCTGAAGTGTTTAACTTACTGTTGCACTTTAACCTTAATTAATGTGGCACCACGAAGTCCTACAAAGTTATTCCATTAATTCTATTTTTTAAAAAACATTTTAGGAAAGTGTGGTCAATAAAGACCCACTGTTTTTGTAGATGTTTGACCTCAGAACACGATTTAAATCGACTTCCCCGTCACTGTATCTGTTCATTTGCCAACGTCGACCTCAAGATGGCGCCAACGCAGCAGTTATCGTCGGAATGATCGAACAACTTCCGGCTGAACACCACATTAAACTACGCTTTTAAAATCTGTACGATTTATTAAATATGGCTTCCTTTTTAATTAAGTTTGTCCCCGAGATATTTTTGATCAGTTAAAAAGTCTATTGTTTTACCGAAGCAGTTTAATTTGAGTGGCTGGTAAATGTATTTACCTACTGATAAGTAAAGAATAAGGAGAGCGACAACATACTGTATTAAACTGGCCTAAAAATAAAAAATACAACGTACAGTCTTTTAACTTCGATTTTGTTAGTTGCTAGTTCAAACTGTTATTTAACAGAGGATATAAGTGACACTTTTATTGTGACAGCCACGGCAGCTTGTAAAGTCAAATCGACTTTGACATGTGTTAGGGGTTAAAGTATTCACGCAAGAAGTTCTTTGGATCAAGATTAAATCAGCATCGGGATCAAATGGGAGCTGGGATTAATGTGCAGTAAAACTTTAAACCACACCGAGGTTAAAGATTAACGCCGACAATCGGCCGACAGTGATAATAAGGCTAAAGGTTTTTACTGCTGCGGCCATAAATGACGGCGCTGTCGGCGGGAGGAGCTGCTTCACCGAGGCCTGCTCTCCTTTCCTGTCTGCTGCAGAGGGCACTCGGATATTTACTGCGTCACATCAGTTCAGCACTGAAAATGTCTCATAATGTGCATTCTTACCGCCACTAGTCTGACTCCAGTGACATTTAGATGGAACGTTCCATCTGCTGGACTGCACACGGAATAACATAAAAACCTTCGAGACGAGCGAACGGTCTGAATTCAAGATGACACACCGTGTTAGTCTAGCGCCGTGACCAGGGGTTCGTGTGACTCTCTCAGAACCAGAACATTACGCCGAGCCAAAGGCATTTGTGGGGGGAGCATTCATACAGAATGACATCTGCTCCGTTAACTCCATGTTTACAGCCTCCGGACTATGTCGTTGTATAAACGAATGAACACAAGTCCTCGACGTGTGTATTTAAACATTTATCAACTTAAAAATAGTTATACATTTATTTACCGTGTGCCTTTTCATGGCTGCCCACTGACGTCACCATTAGTACCGGCGGTAAACTCAGTTCCCTTCGTGGATACTGGTTCGTCTTCAGGTGATTAAGGTGATTCACTTCACCTGCGTCGTCGACCGATCACCGCCGTAACTAACGTATTGGAGCGGAGGAAATGTGTTCCTTGTGACTTTATCACAACATTACATTAAATGTATCCCTCCCAAAATACGAAAAATATAGCTGACATCACACTGTTATTTTTTACTTTATTTTACCTTTTCTCTTATCTAAAACTTTTGTACCAAAAATCGTTACAACAAATATTCGTAATCAAAGAAAAAGAAGAAGAGTACTCGCAAAAATCACGTGGTTGCAGCCATTGACTGTTTGAAGTCTGTGCAGGTCACAATGTTATCTGTTTTATCAGTCAAAGTAGAAATAAACACTACAGATTAGGAAGCCTACCCCCTCCCCCCATACGATACTAATAGTAACCACTAGATGGTGGTGACTTTAGGCAACCTGCAGATATCTTCATGTTTGGCCAACTACAGTCTTCACTCCCCTGACAGAGAATGTGTCAAATGCAGGCAGTCCTTCAGGCTATAGTATTTATAAAAAAATATTAATATGACACCAGGCAAATATTTCAGGGGGGAGGATGGGGAGGGGGGTAGAGAAGGTGTCGAGGAAGTGCTAGCTTTTACGATGCCTCGGGCAAACTCCCTGTTTTGGCTTCCCATCCCCATTAAAAATGTTTCCAGCTCCCTGGTCAATAACAAATGCCATGTTGCAGAACTGTCATCTAAATCACAGAGTTGAAATCATAGTGTTGTACTTTCCAGAACCGTTCTGTGTTGGTAAACAGTAGAATAGAAGATCCAACGCCCAGGTCTGTGGCTGCGTCAGAAGAAACAAAACTCAATTAAACTATTATATTTATGACCAGAGGGGTTTTCCACCCTGCTGTGTAATTACTGCACTGATGATAATTAGGTTTTTTTTCATTTGGGAAACTTTATATCACTCACAACCAACATAATGATTCTATCTACTGCTCCTCTCTTTTTTCTACACACCTAGGACAGTGATGAAGTTATAAACATATCCTCATAAAATGAAGATTATTATAGACTTAAGACAAGTTTCCATTTAACCTCTAGAATAAATAAAAATCATCTCTATATACTGATAGACCTTAAGAAGACAAAGAAGGAAAAGCCGCAGAAAAGACCCTTGAAAAATACTGTTAATTATAAATCCACATTATATTAAATTGTAGTATATTTGCTGCTAAGATTTCCTAGTGGGTTCCACTTCTGTTCACGTAATAAGTTCACGTCTGCCAACATCACTATACTAATATAGAGCAACTGTGCCAAGAGGGAATATCAAGACAATATTCATTCTGATTTATATCCTCTTACGCCTGGGCAAACATAATATTCTCAGCGACTGGAGGCCTGTGACTTTTTAGGAAAGGTAAAAGTGTAGGTTGAGTTATTTGATAAGGTGAGGATGTGCAGCTGGATCATTTGTAACTGACTCTCTCAAACAGTACAATAAAGATGGACTATAAAAAGTGATGGGTCAATTTATATTATTACATCAGAGGATGTTGAGCTGAGTGAGAAAAGAAATTCATACTGAGAGAATAAAGGAAACGTCACATGTGGTGCAATGACTGTCACAGCCAGAGCTTCTCCACTTAGATCACACAGAGCAGGGATTTGAACAAACACTGCCAAGTGTTTAGTTACTGTATCTAGAGGTTTTTTAAACAGAAAACAATCATCAGTGTTTACTAGCTTAAGAATACTGGCTGTATAAAAGAAATATTGAGGTCAACACTTTAGGGTAACTGAGTGAGTCCTTAAAGTTCACAGAGAGACAGCATGAATGTTATGGATGGCTATTCTTTTTATCATCCTATTCCATTCTCACCTTTTGGTTCAACAGATTCACATCTCTTTAAGTACTTTTGTATTTCTAGAATATTCTTCGTCTGAAGACAATAACGTCTATAAATGTCTGCAGACGTTGGATTTTCTTACCACAACTCTGTGGAGAACTTAACTTTTAACCTCATTGTGTCATTAGGATTCATTAACATCACAATTTCTACCTTTGTCTTTTTCACTTCAAGTTATATTGAAATGGTGTTCTGTTTATGTGATTAATTAATGGTGTTCTTCGAGGCTAGGCTAGGCTAAGCTAAGCTAACCCCTTGCTATTTTTTGTGTCTTAGCTCGGTTAGTAACTCTACATCCTGGAATTACTGTCACCTGCTGGGAGTAATTTATACTACTAAATATAAATGTATTATCACAAAATAATAAAAATAAAAGTACTGTATGGATCATGGGAAACATTAAAATTCTGGATTCTACAAACACTAAACCAAACATTTGACTCAAAGTTTGGTTAAAAACCCACCTCTTCCAGCATGACCTTGAGTGACTTCCATTTTTCTGCTCATGGGCTCCATCTTAGTTTATATTGATTTCATCAGCCTCAACATTCTTATCTATGTCCCCAAGGGCTGCTTAAAAACTCTCTAATCCCATAGTTTCAGTTTAGCCACTGAGATTAAGAATAGTTTAGAAGTTTTACATCTGTGTAAAATCCCTTTGAAAAAGATAAACGTAAATCCTTTGTCTGAGGAATGTTATCATGATTACTTTAATCATCAAAACCTGTGCAGAGTCTCTGAGCTGTTCCACACACTTCAGATACTTGGTGTCAAAAAAAAAGTAAAAGAAAAGTAAAATGCTCTACAGGCATTTGTACTCAGGAGACCAATTAGAAAAATGAGTCGTTGGTGTGAATGAGGCTTTAGAAACAACAGCTCTTCCTGTGTTAGACTAATGTGGTGTCTACAGATCTGTTTATCTTTGTGGAACGTTGCACCTAAATAACTTCTAATTAGTCGGGTTCTACACCTACAGTCACAGATCGTCAGGTGTCACTGACTGAATCACTAACACTGTTCTGATCTGGTTATTTGAAGAATCTGTTAATTGGTAACAGGCTAGTATTCTGGTAGTAAAACTATTTCAACTTTTATAGTCATCATTTCTTAATAAAGGATTAATTATGAAAAGAACTGATCAGACTGAAGGGTGGCTCAGAGCTGCCTCTGCTTTCAGTATGAAAATCCCCCCTTTCATATGCAGCGCTGTTCTGTTTGGATCAGATGTGACAAGACTAATGTAGTGGATGCAGAAGAACACCCTCCACCTCTACACCCTCCACCTCTACAGCCTCTACAGCCTCTACATCCTCTACATCATCTACATCCTCTACATCATCTACATCATCTACAGCCTCTACATCATCTACATCCTCTCCACCCTCTCCAGCCTCTACATCCTCTACACCCTCCACACCCTCTACAGCCTCTACACCCTCTACAGCCTCTACATCATCTACATCCTCTACAGCCTCTACATCCTCTACACCCTCCACACCCTCTACAGCCTCTACATCCTCTACATCCTCTACATCATTTACATCCTCTACATCATCTACATCCTCTACATCATCTACATCCTCTACATCATCTACATCCTCTACATCATCTACATCCTCTACATCATCTACATCCTCTGAACACTGCTGCAGCGACTCCTAATGAAGTGGAAATGCCTAAAACGGATTCATTTCATGGTAGACTCTGTTACTTTGATTCCTCTTCTCTCCTTTTCTTGCACTCCTTGCTGGTATTTTTCATTTCAAAACCTTTCCATAAGGAAAATAAACTCCTTATCAATCGGATCAATCCTGATCAGATGCAGCCGCTGCCGTCGCCAGGGAAACCTGCAAACCTGTCATGAAAATGAAATAAATTGAACATGACAAGATCAGCCTCGTGTTCAGTCAGCCATGACACAAGTATTTGAATACAAGACTTTCTTAAACAGTAGACAGTCTTAAATAAATACATTTGATGGGAACAAAAGCCCCCCCCCCCCAACCTGGAACATCCTGGGATTATCAGACTGGGAATCAGGCAAGAAGAATCTTATCACACCTTCATCTGTTCCAGGCCGAGCCTCTGAGCCTGTATCAGTAATTATAATTTATCAGGACTCCAGAGTCAAGACGCTGATGAAGATCAGAGCAGGAGGAAGCGTCTGTCTGAGAAGGTGAGCAACAACAAGAAAAAACTGGTTTTATTTTCACATTGTAGCACAATTTATTTGCATTTTCTCTCCATCTCAACAGCAACACAAATATCGTGGTACTGTAAACATGAATGAACAGAGTGTGAATTCTCCGGGAGCCTACAACAAACTGTACTCCAGTCCGGTGTACGTCGCCCTCTACTGTATCTCTGTCCCTGTGTTGGCCAAAAACATATTAAAAAAAAAAAACGACTCAGAAATGTTTGGCAGCTTAAAAAAAAAACAGAATCTTTGCAAGGCCACTTGGAGCATGTTCTGTCAAAAATGGATCAAGCATGCCTACATACGACCAGCGGCTGACGCACAGACGTGGTTACGTGTGGTGACAGAGTGTGTGGTGGAATACATTCAGGAGGAGCTCAGGCAGCGACAGACTGAACCTCCAGTTCACCGAGGCAGAAAATGATGAACCACAGGGAGAGCAAAAATAATGCAGAACCTAACCTGCAAAACCTCACATTATAATATTTAAAAATGTATTTGGTAATTGCACTGTTTGAGCCCTGTTTAATAAATAAATAAATACATAAATAAATCTAATATAAACTAATATGTTTTTATGGCAGAAAAACGTTTTAAACCTGCCGTTTGTTTTGTGCTTTATGTCTAGGAAACAAAAACATCAACAGCTGGAGCCCTGGCTTGCCATCCACGGCGCCACCTGCTGGGTGGGGCACTGAAAAAAAAGCCCTAAAAACAAAAAAATAAAACAATAGACAACAGAAAATAAATAACAGTTATAATGAGCTGCCTGACTGGTGTCCTTTTCCCAACAGCGCCCCCTGTTTTTTCCACATTTATTTGTTCTTTTTTTATGCATAGACTAAATGAGTTTAGTTCCTTCAGCAGGGGGCGCTACAGCAGTGGACAGCTCAACAAAAAGACCAGTCACAGTAAATAGATGTATGTGTTAATATATTTATATTTGTGTCACACTGTTGTTCTGTGTGGGTGGATTTTAGTCATTACTGAGAGACAAACACTTTTCCCCTCAGTGTGTTAATTAATTAATTAATCAAATGAATGATGGTGATTAACAGGTTCATTTTAAAAGCCCTAGTTTGTTTGTTTTTTTAGCATCGAGTCACGAGGTCATTAATGTTGGGGCGATGTGGTCGTCACGGGTTGGAAGGCACCAAACCAGAACCTGCCTACGACATTAGCACAGAGCCGGTTCAGGCCTACAGTAGGACAAGAAAATATAGAATAGAAACCAATAAAAAGATGGCCTACAGTAGGACAAGAAAATATAGATTAGAAACCAATAAAAAGACAGAAACGAGGCTAAATTATAACTCAGTACTTTGTGCCAGGAGGAGATCATTTTTGCGTTCTGCCCTTGATGGAGGTGAACTGTTTATGTGGCGTTATTTCTGTCATGCTGGTAGCAGATCATTAGCATTCAAGAAGTGTCAGTGTCTCTCTGATAACTCTGGACAGCCTCCGTCCCCTCACAGTCTTCTCTCATTGTCCCCTCACCTAGTCCTTGGTGGCAGAGTGCCCCCTTATGATCGGGGGGAGAATTTACTGCATCGTTGAGTCGTTTCCATCGAGGTGCGCCTGCTGTTGGTTTTCACGCAGACGTAACATATGGCATCGTCAAGTAAACACAGTCTGACAGCAACAGTTTGCATCACAATGAAGACGCTAGAAAACTCATCTGAACGGAAAAGGACTTAGCACTAACATAGTGCATAAAGCATCTGTCAGAAATAGAAAAAAGGCTGTTTGTTGACTCAACAAAGCTCAGAGTCAGGTGTCAGTGGTTCTGATGTTGTGACTCAGTGCTGCCTAAAGATGTTTGGACTCCTGGAGGACAAACCTCCAGAGCTGCTGGGTCCACCTGTCACTTCCTGTCTTTACCCTGGATCTTAAACTCTGCGTTCACTTTTTTTCCATTATGAGCAACTTAAAAAATACTAAGGTCCTTTCATACGTCGTGTTATCACCTCTGAGTTCTCAGCCACACACCTGGGTGACATCACCAACAACAACTGGAGCTGGTCACTGAGTCCATCTGCTCCACGTCACTGTGACGCCCACGTGTCTCAGCTCAACCGGGTCAGGAATCTGAAGGAATGTGATGGACGTGTTAACAATCGGAACACAGTGGGGAGTCTTCCCGGAGCAGAGCTGGTTACATGTCCATGTCACCGTCGTAGGCCAGGGTCAGGGGCTTCTGTGGCGGGGCGGACGTCTTCGTAGATTTGGACGGCTTACTGTAACGGAAAAAAAAAGAGCTGTCATTAGATCGAGGAAAAATAAATCTGATATTGTTGCAGCAACAAAGACTGATGGAGGAGGAGAACGCTGACAGTCTGTCTAAATACCAGGTAGTTTATGTAAAAAGGAAAAAATCATTCACCATCATCACATGGACTCGTCCAACAGCTACAGCAGAGACTGTGGATGAAGGTGGAAACACCACGGCCACAGACCATTATTTATTTATTTATTTTTCTTCCAGAATGATGTTTATCCCTGCGGTGGTGTTCACATGTTTGTACTAACAGAGTCAGGGTGCAGTGAAGTCCAACTGTTGCCTCATCAAGGCCTGAAATGACCTCTGGAATGACCCCTGAAATGACCTCTGGAATGACCTCTGACCCAGCGACGGTGGGCAGTTTGTTGTTTGTTGTAGAATTCCTAATAAAAAAAGTTCTTTGATCAGACGTACCAGAGCAGGTATGAGAGGGTGATGACGAAGAGTATGACGACGAATCCAAAGGCAGTCACGGCGTAAACCCAGAGCTTCACTCGTCCATCTGTGGAACCAGAAGATCGACATCATCACAGGGAGAACATAAAACCTTCTTACTCTGATCACCATGATCCATCATGATTAAACCACACTTCATCTGCAGATATGATGATGATGATACACACATATATATATACATGTCGTATGTATTTACTTTATATTTATATTCACGTATATATATATATATATTTACAAATATATTCATATACAGTATATATACACTTCATATAGAAGATTTATGTCTACAACTCTGAATCATTATCAGTTTTTCCTCCAATATTGAAAACCCGATAACGATTCTTACAGATTTTACTTAATTATGTTAATATGTTAATATGTTAATATGTTAATATGTTCAGCCGATATTAACAAAAACATCCCTCCATGAAACCACTGCTGCTCAGTGTCTGAGAGAGAGAGACAAAGAGAGAGAGAGAGAGAGAGAGAAGAGACAAAGAGCTGTGGGTTCAGAGGTTCAGAGGTTCAGAGGGTCAGAGGTGGCAGAACCATCATTTCAGTACCGGGGCCCACAGGTGGGAGGCTCCACTCACTGAACAGGTCCTGGTTCTGGGCCGGCCCGGGTCTTAATCTTCCAGAGTTAGTTTTCACGTCAGCCTTCTTGTTGTTGTCCAGCCCCGGGGTTCTGGTGCAGTAGTCCAAGAAGCCGTGCGTGGTCATCACCTCGGTGTAACCCTTCTCACAGCCACACACCCCGCTCTGCCAGGAGAACACGGTTTAGAACCCACACCAGTCACTGTTTCAGAACCGTGCTGACAGCACAGTCTCTGAGGTGGGTGAAAAACTGCTCTGAGCTCATCAACCATGTTCATTCAGCCCGACATTAAACCGAGGCCCCCTAGGGGACGATTTATGCAGAATTCAGAGACTGATATGAAGAATGTTTTTTTTTTTTAATTGCTGTTCTGTTTTGGAATTTACGTGCAATTACATAAAGGGTACATAAGGGGCAGTAAAACATCAAGCGTTAACTGTTTTTTCTCATTTTCATTGCAGCCTGTGTAGCCTGCCCCCCCCACTGCCCCCCCCCCCAGAGCCTAGGTGTAATTAATAACTGACACAGAGCCCACTTTCATTGGTCCTAACGTGCTTGTTTCTTTAACGGCCTGTACTTGACAGAACGGCCCGTCAGGTTCCACGCCGCCGCCTGCTCACTACGTGGGAAACACAGTGTGAACTATGGAGATCACAGCGGCTCGATCGAAGCGCGATGAACTCACCGGCGTGCAGTGTGAAAAGGGTTTGGTGCACGGAGGATGGCAGTGTCTGAGCGTGGTCGGCTTCTTCTGCAGGAAACAGCCCCCTGGAGGAAAACAACAGCCTTTTAATTCCTCTTCCGTCCTCCATTGATCACTGAGTGAATGTAGTGCCACGCCTGATTAATGTCCTGGGCCTATCCTGCTCCCTGATCAATCTGTGAACATTTTAATTCCAACATGGAAAATTGCGTGTCAGAATATCAGAGAGTAATGCCCCGGGCCGCGGAGGCTGGCGTCTCCTTCTGGTCTCTTATTCGTCAGAACGCCCTCATGGTGGCGATAAGATCACATTCACCCGCTGTTAGCTTTTGTTCACACCCTGCTGCTACCTTTCCTCCCTCTTCCCACAAATACAATTCCAGGATTATATTTATATGGATTGAAAGCCTCACGGCTCCGAGTGGGAATTATTGATTACTTATGTTAAGAGGGAGCGGAGGAATCGATGGAGACTCCTCCAAGAATGAAGAAACTGGGAGACAAGAATGAAGAAACTGGAATGAGCTGTTAAAATCAGTGTGTGGTGATTAACACCAGCTCACACACACACACACACACACACACACACACAGGTGAGTGAATTAAATATGTCATCATCTGTCGTCAGGATTATTACCACAGAACACGGACTGATGAATGACAACAATGGGCTCAGCTGAACCAATCAGGTGGCGAGATGTCACTGCCTCATGTAGATTCCCCAACAGGTGTTACAACGATAACGTTCGACTGGCGCCCCCTGTCTTCAAAGCTGACATATGGCAGTGTATCGAAGAGGCCGTGAGGTGGAAACATTGATTATTTATATCAAAGAGTGGATTTGATGTAAACTTAATTAATTTATTAGTGATGTATCTGAAAACCTGTTTCTGTTTTTCTAATCACTCCATAACGACGTGGCTCATGATTCTGATCCGTTGTTGACGTGTTATTCCCACTCCTACTCCTGAACTGAGACGTGGATTAAAAGCAGTAACTAATCCAACAGACTAGACCAGACTAAACAGGAAGATTAAAGGCAGCTGCCTTTGTTCTCTGGCTCTGATTGGCCTCAGAGCTGCAGAACAGCAGCAGAACTGGGACACGCTCACACACACATTCATGTATTTATACACCGGTGGGTCTGTGTGTTCCCTTGACTGTGTCTGCGTGACCTGACTGGGGGGAGGAGGGGGGAGGAGGGGGGAGACGCTGCCGCTCCTCACCTGTGACATTGACACCATCCGAGCGCTGACACCACACCACCCGCTGGTTGTTGCTCCATCCGCCCGCCCTCCAGTGGTAACTGTGGCATTTTCCCTCTGTGTCAGAGGCAGAGGCAGAGGAGAGGCTCATTAGCAGTTTGTGTTGGCCATCCAGCTCTGCT